GTCACTGCTGCAGATTTCACCTGCTCTGCCTTTATAATGTGAGGGAGTGGACCTGTCTACCTCCTGAAGTTTGGTGTGTTTTGTTCTGATTTATATTTCCATGATTGAAGATGAACACATAAATAAATCTGGTGGTTTTTGGAAAATTGCTTTGGTAATGAACCCGCAAAATCATGCTCGTCGCATCTGCTCAGAGAACTACGTTTCCGTGACCATGCCAGGGACAGACCGTCACCGGCAACCAGCTATATCTATAAATCCATTTCCGCATCCTCTGCTGGTCCTTTCCTGTCTAAGGCCCGTTGGAAGATGGCGGTGCAAATCTGAAAGAAGGTCAGCACTGTTTTATCCCCGTTTTACTCACAAACATGTGGAAGCCTTTAAAAATGGGCTCACACTGGATGGGGTGTAATTTGTGCCTGTCTGGGTTCAATACTGAGCGGATGAGTCCGGATCCTGTCTGTGCTGCGACTGCTTCATTTGGCTGGCTAACATGGCTCTGAGCAGCAAGGCTGGTGCCTCTTTCCATGTTTTCCATATTTCCAGGTTGTTGATTGTCACGTCTAGGTTTCCATGTTCTTTGTCTTCCGCGTGTAGTAATTTAGTTCCTGCCAGTTTAGTTATCATCAGTATTGTTCTAGTTTCCTTCTTCCTTTTGTTTTGAGTGCTTGGTACGTTTTTTTTATTCAGTCACAATAAGCGACGCGTCTTTTGTCTAACACACCACGCCTTCAAGTGTCTGCATTTGGACCCACACCAAGCACCAGCCTTCCCAGCTGTGACAGAAATGCTGCTGGGTCATCATGGTCAGGTCCATGATGACCCAGCAGCATTTCTTTGACAATATTTTTGAATTTGGCATTCGACCAAGGATTCTTGGACTATTGACCGAAGGAGACAGAGTACTTTGTCATGGCCATGATCTCCACTTCCCCGCCAGCTGGGGACCCAGCCGAGCCCTCCCAGCTCCCTGCGACGTCCATGCCACTAGGTCCAGCCACGTCTCAGCCAGAGGACTTTGCGACACCTGGCCCTGCCAAGCCTCGCCACCATCGCTGACCTTGTGGTCGGCCCCCAGATTGTTTTGCCAGTTACATCGACCTCCGGGTTGACCCCCTGAATTGTATTTATTTTGCAGTCTTGTGCTCGTTTTTTGAAAATGAATATCTGCTCAAAGAACTACATTTCCATGAGCATGCCAGGGACGGTCCGTCACCGGAAGCCAGCCTTTCGCTATAAATGCGTAAGACTAATCGGTGTTTTAAGCTCACTGTTGGATGGTTTTTAGTACGGAAAGTAATTCGTCAGTGGTGAGGTGTATCTGAACAAATGTTTGAAGGTTTCAGAGTTTGAAAAATAAATGCATTTGGCTGCAAAAATGTAAAAATATGGAATTTTAAACTGTTTAGAGGTCGTTTGTTTACAATATTAACACTTTGCCAACAGCAGTTTACAGTAATCTCATCCTGGTAGGAAACCCAGTGAGTAAAGTGCAAAGGCTTCTGATGTTAGACAGTCAGATTTCCCTTCAGTGATGATACGATGACGAGACGGAGCAGGACTCGGTCTCGCTCTGCTGGTCGCTGGTTCAGATCCACGTTCTGTGGTTCTGCTCCAGCACCTCAGAGCAGGAAGTCCTTTCCATGTGAAGACACAGAGGCATTTGTCTGAGAAGGGTCGAGGCATCAGGACTGTGCTGTAGACGGTGCAGGAAACCTGCAGTCCATCGTTACACATGCTGGTTTGATCCCGGTGTTTGTCTGTAATACTGAAATGTCCTTCCTCTTTCTTTTAGCTGTATGCTGAGAAAGTTGCCACTCGTGGTCTGTGTGCCATCGCTCAGGCTGAGTCTCTGCGCTACAAACTGCTGGGAGGCCTGGCTGTGCGCAGGTGAGCATGTCTGGATTTCTTTAATTTAACTAAATAATTTTTGTTACAAATTTCATCAGACTGGTGTGATTTAAACAGTTAATGACTCCACAGGGTTAACTTCCACCTTAGAAATGTTTTCTGCCATTGAGTAATAAGTAATGTACGTTTACACATAAGCTCTTTACATCAACACAATCTTGTGAATGAATGAATATTAACTTTAGTTTCACTATTATAATCGTCTGTGTATTGTGTTTTGTCCTTTAACACAAAGATAATTTATTAAACGTTTCTTAACGTTATGCGTCCTAACATGACATCTTAAGCTCTAAATACATCTCTGCACACAGTTTAATGTTTGGATGTTTTTCTCAAGTCAATTATTTATGAGTGTATTCTGCTCGTGGCACATCTCTTAGTATGTTGGACCCGACCCAAAGTAGGAAATTTGATCGTAATCTAGAAGAGTAAACAGTAAAAATGCTGACAGAGGTTAAATTATGGTCAGTAGGAAACACCCTGTCATAAAAAACCTCATGTGTACTTTGAGGGTGAAGCCTGTGTTCTGTGTGTCAGCTTCTGTCCCTTCGGTGATGATACGATGACGAGTCGGAACAGGACTCATCCTGGTTCTGCTGGTCGCCGGTTCAGAATCACGTTCTGTGGTTCTGCTCCGGTTCCTCAGAGCAGGGGGTCCTTTCCAGGTGAAGACATTGAGGCATTTGTCTGAGAAGGGTCAAAGCACGCTTTAATGAAGCTCACTGATGAAGGAGGCGTCTCCTCCTCGTGGCATGTTTTACCGATTTAAAACCTGAAGACCTCCAGCTGAACCCACCATGTAGAAAATTGATGTTTTTTATGAAGTCGACCAACCAGAATCATTTCAGTCACAGTGAAAGTTTCCTGAGAGAATCTTGCAGTACTTTGGATCCACTGATCGATTAGCCGCTAACACTGTTTTATCACTCTGCTTTTTCAGGGCTTGCTATGGCGTTCTGAGGTTCATCATGGAGAGTGGCGCCAAGGGCTGCGAAGTCGTCGTGTCCGGCAAGCTGAGGGGTCAGAGGGCCAAGTCCATGAAGTTTGTGGACGGTCTGATGATCCACAGCGGAGACCCCGTCAACTACTACGTCGACACAGCCGTCCGCCACGTCCTGCTGAGGCAGGGTGAGTGCAGCTCGGCCACATGCAGCCAAATCAAACTGCCATCGCGTTGTTTTGGTGGCACTGATGTGTTTATTTAATACTCTCAGGTGTGCTGGGCATCAAGGTGAAGATCATGCTGCCCTGGGACCCCAGCGGTAAGATCGGCCCCAAGAAGCCCCTGCCCGACCATGTCAGCATTGTGGAGCCCAAGGAGGAGACCCTGCCCACCACACCAATGTCTGAGCAGAAGGGGGCCAAGCCAGAGGTGCCCGTCATGCCCCAGGGAGCACCTGTACCCACTGCATAAGAGGGTAAGAGACAGGGTTTTATTTGACTGCTGCAGGGCCTTCACAAGGCTGTATACTAATGATAGATCCTGTCCTGCTGCTAACCTAAGAGAGAAAACACAAAAAATAAATTAGTCTTTTAGTTCTTCTGCAGTAAAATTGGAGGTTCCTGTGAATTCTGATAAGTAGATATGTTCTGTTTGCTACAGTGGAGCTTCAACAGGTTTAAATTATGACATTTTAGCCATTCGGGTACGTTCGGGTGACACTGTTGCTGTCCTGATAATATATCGCAAAATAATCTGGATCCAGTGATTTAACACAGACTGTGGTGTTGGACGGTCTCACACGGCTCCCTTCGGTGATGATACGATGACGAGTCGGAACAGGACTCATTCTGGTTCTGCTGGTCGCTGGTTCAGAATCACGTTCTGTGGTTCTGCTCCGGTTCCTCAGAGCAGGGGGTTCTTTTCAGTTGAAGACATCGAGGCATTTGTCTGAGAAGGGTTTCAGCTCACAAACACGAACCGTGACACTTTTACAGGACACCAAAAACAGTCTTTTAGGAACTCAGAGAAACTGAGGTCAACAATTTGAGCTCAGGATTCAGTTTACTGATTTCTGAAACTGGGTTTAATTCTCTTTTTTTTTCTCTTTGCAGGTTTTCAGTCGTCGCACCAGATGGAAGCAAGGCCCTTTGATTTTTGTGTACAAAAACAATAAAATTTGGAAAATACACTTAAAACAATGAGTGGATTTATTTAACTGCCTGTAGGTTTCATGTGGAGTGGGAAAACTGAGGGAAAAGTTTACAATTTTCCCAACCAGCTCATCTTCAAAACATGCCAAAGTGCTCAGAAGATTATGAGCCGACCTCTTAAACACAATGTAATGTTTTTTTCCTGGTGTGTGGGAGCAGCAGGTTTATTTCACAGCAGAATGCAGAGTCACTGCTGAAGTATGAAACCAGTGTTGGGCATAAAGAAAGTATATGGTAGAGAAAAGTCAAAGTAATGTCCCCGTGGAGGACACAGGATGTGAAATCTAATATTCTATTCAAAATAGTGAAAATCTAAAAGTTGCTATGGCGCCCCCTGGTGGGTGGAAGATGGAATTTACACGTAAAGTAAGCTTCAAAATTTGGACATTGTACATGCAGATTGTTGGTTTTAAAATGCGTTTCAGCTTTAAGTTTTGCATTTAATGCACAGCTGGTTGTCAAACTGTGGTGCTGGCCCCGCTGGTGGGACACGAACCACCAGGTAAGAAATATGAATTAAGGTGAAATTGATACTCACCTTGAAAGTAAATAAATCAGGACTTTTGTTTTGTGTGTCAATGACTGATTGAAAAGAGAACTGCGTCAGTGTGGAAACCAATGAGTACAAGACTGATGTTCACAGCTTCACGGAGTGTTTAACGAGAAAAGTGAGTAAGCTGAGTGAAATGCCCCTTTAGGGTGACGTCAGAAGGAAAGATGTGTCACTGCTCCATTTTCGGGTGCAACAAACGTCACGTGTGACGTAAGTGTGGCAGCCTACAGTAAATGTGAATATATCACACCATCCATACAACTTTACACTGAATAAATATATTTTAGAAATATACGAGTATAAATAAACGGTTATCAGTCTGCGCATGCGCGCTTTCCCCGTTTCAGGGTAAATTAAAAAGTTTGATAAGAAAGGGAATCGTGTTGCAGCCGAGTGATCCATCTTCTCGGCACTAAAGAAGGTCCGGGTTAGGCCACGCCCCCTGGTTGCTACCTGTAGAAAAATGTAACAGGTGAACTCCCAGCTCCCACCCGGACCACCGCTGAAGACACGATGAGTCTGCCGGACTACAAATCAACAGAAAAACCGCCTTCGTCCGCGGCTCCGGTAAGACTGCAGCCCTCGGTGCGATCGTTTGGAAGTTTGGTGGAGCTGAAGGAAATCCTCCACCTGCTCGGGGGCTGAACAGGTGGATGCAGGTGTAGCCAGACAACAAATTATAACTTTTTCCAAAGTGAAACAGGGCAGATGTTTGCTGTGCTGCTGTTTCACGGCATTTTAATCTCTAACAGTTTTCCAGAGACGCGTTAAAGGGCGCTCTGGTTCACAGGAATCAAACTTCCAACTTCGAGGAAGTTTCGTCTGAAATGTTCCCAAAACCTTTCCTGCCGTTTTAGGATTAATGGGAACACCGTTTAACTTCTCTGTGCATGTAAAGGTGGAGCCGACGCAGTGAGCGGTGGGATTTCACCGACTTACTGAAGTATTGCTGTACTTTCAGTTTAGCAGTATATGTAGTACTTTACTTGAGGAACAAGGAAAACGCTGTCATTCATTGGCAGCTACGGTCGGTTCCTTTACGGGCAAATGAGGCGCTGATACAAAGCAGTGCACTGTTACAGCCACAGCTCGGTCATAAAACAGCCACTAATCATCCAATTATAGAGGCAATGTTTGTGAATACTGCAGTCAGGAATGAGAATATTTCCAGAGAATATTTTTAATTTAGATGCTTAAGACCATGAAATGTTGTCTCTGTGCATTGGTTTGGTTTTAACGCTTCTTTATAATATTTAAAGTGTGGTGCGCATGTTTCCTTCCAGTTTTTCTCAAATTAGAGTACAGTATCAGAGAAATGTAGTGTAAGTATCACAGGTAAGAGAGTAAAAAGTGACGCATCGCTGGGTAAGCAGCATTTTACAGCTGAAGCTGTTTACACTGTGGGTATGTCCCGGCTCACAGCGGTGAGCCTGTAGGGCTGATCTAACATGTCTGCATGTCCATGCATCTATTTTCTGCATTTTCCTGTCTTTTATGATCATGTGATAATAAAATAGGTGTTTATTTGTACTCAAAGAGCTTACATGCAGGCTAAATGTCCGCGCTCATGAACCATAGTAACATGGGACTTTTAAGCATATTATGTGGCACAATTAAAATAATTTAAAGAAAACAAACAACAGCAAAATGTTAAGAGACAATGTTTTTGTACATGGTGATTGTTTTTTTTTTTGGTTTTTGGTTTTTTTTGTATAATCTTTGTAAAATCTGTTGAAATCTGAAATTTTTATATGTGAATCCTTCCTCTGAATTTAGTGGCATCAGGTAAAAACTACAATATATTTCAAATCTACACTGTTTTCATTAATTTTATATTTTTTAAATGAATATATAATAAACAAATAAACATGTGAAAGGCGTTATCCATAATTTTAATGTTAGTCCTGTGAGGCCGCCCTGACAGGCTGCTTCAGTGTTGACAGACCATGAAGGAATGCAGTCTTATCTACCTGTGCAAATCATTAAGTGGGTGATTCATGCTGCCTGACAGCCTTGCAGAGCTACACACAGTCTGTGCATTCAGGTATTTATTTAGCTTTCTCTATGTGCAGAAAATACTCTTTAAACTCAAGTGAAAATCCTTGTTGTCAGGAATGATCAACATTCAAACTGTATGTAAAGTAAAATGAGCACGCTCCATCGAGACAAGGGGAGGGAAAACTACAAGATGAATATGGATCATCCACAGGAGATGTCTTAGAACCCTCCTTCAAATGCAAACACTTCTAATAAATATGATTAATTTTAAGACTAATTAGTTGTGTTGCAGATTTTGCAAACTAAATTGATCTATTATTGGTTATGTATGACTTTGACTCACAATAATAAGATAAAAGCTGCTTAAACTTTTGATTTATAATCGTCTGTATTTGAGCATGAGGCTGCACATAAGCCCAGTGTTTAAATACTGTAACTGTTCCTGCAGTCATTTGGTGCACTCTGCAGAAACCTAAATATCGTCTTTTTCCTCAGAACTTTCATGTTGTGCAGTTAAATGTCGGGGGTCACCTGTACACCACCACTCTGAGCACGCTCAGGAAGCACTCCGACTCCAAGCTGGCGGAGATCTTCAGCGGACCGCCCAAACTGCGTACTGACACACAGGGACGCTACTTCATTGACCGCGATGGGTCACACTTTGGAGCCATCCTGGAGTTCCTGAGATCAGAACAGCTGCCCAAGGAGAACATCCAGGAGGTCCGACTTATCACGATGTAGCTCTGCTCGTATAAAGCTCCATATTTTTACTTTCTGATTCTACTAGACTGGCTTTGGATGATTCACAATTCAAAATAATCCTTTTTTGTATTTACTGGGCTTTGGCGCCACTGGCACAAACTGTTTTAACTCCTCCTCCTTTTAATTAAGCTTTCTTCTGATTGGTTGCGCCTGCAAACCTGTTAGACAGGGAAGATTATTAGGACTGTCCTCACACTGTTTGGCCATGTTTAATATGAACATCCGCCATAAGTTTACATCGAAGAAGTTCTTAATCGTTTTAAAGTATTTAAGATATGAATATAAAACCAGTTTAAAAAACAGGGGGTGTGCCCTGCTGCCAAAATGAATTTTAAGTTTGCAACTCGTGTTTCTGCAGGTTCATAAGGAGGCGATCCACTACAACATCAAACCGCTGATCAAACTCTTGGAGGAGACTCCTCGGCTGTTTGGAGAGCTGGTGGGAAGGCAGCAGTTCCTCTCCCGAGTCCCACACTACAAGGAAAACATCGAGGTGAGCTGCACTCACACCAATAATCCACGACTGTTTGTAGTTTACACTCCTACTTTGGAATTCATGCAACTTCACATTTCCACTTTTTGAATGATCATTTAGAATTTTTCCTCCAGGTTCTGATTCGTATCGCCAGGGCCGAGGCCATCGCCGCACGCCACTCCTACATCATCATCTGCGTGCTGAGGACGGAGGAGGATTTGGGCTTCTATGATAATGCCATTAACAGCTTGGAGGCGGCTAAGGAGTCGGTGGTGACGTTCGGGCCGTGGAAGGCCGCCCCGTTGGTCAAAGATCTGCTGGACTGTGTAAAGATGGACATCGAGAACCAGGGCTACAGGGTGAGCATCCAGCCTCACGCCGTGGAGAAGAGCTTCCTGTCCAGGAGCTATGACTACTTTTATCAACTCACATTCACCTGGTGGTGATGAGACGGCTGAACAAAACTTGAAACCGTGCATACTCTTTCTTTAAAAAAATTACAGACTGCACTTTGTTATGTTTTTGTTATAGAGCCACACTAAAACAAAGGCTCAGTAAAGCATCGGTCTATCATTAATTTCAAAGGTACTGACTTCCTGAAAGATGGAAAAAAAAAAAAAAGAGGGCTTGTAGCTTCTGCTTGTGATGAGTGAAGTGCATCTTTCCTAGTAGCCAGCAGGGGGCGACTTCTCAGGTTTCAGAAGTCCAGCTGCCCTCAGGGGACACTTTAGTGATGAGTTTGGGGTCTTACTCTCTAGCTTTCAGTCTTGTTTACTAGGACATGATGATATGTTTTAATCATTGTCTCTGTTAGTGTCCAGAAGGACTTCAGGCTGGGGCAGCCTTGTGATTTTCATCTGCCTGTCTGTGTTTGTCAGTCAGAGCTACGCCTCACCGTTTTTTCCTTTTCAAACTTGATATTTTTATTTAAACAATAAATGTTCAGCTCAAGGCTTCACAGCAGGACCTGAATAATCAGTGTGTGATGTTGCATTATGGCTATGTTAATGTTTTATGTACAGTCTGTGGGTTTAAGCGCCTGTTGCCAAGCAAAGATTTCTATCTTTTAATTCATTTCAGATGCTTATAAATATAAATGTTGGTTCATATTCAGTGCTGTGTTGAACAAACACTAACTACTCTATTATTAAATCTTCTTGTCCACCCGCAGGTCTCAGTAGTAACTTGTTTAATTAGATGGCATCGTCCACACGTGAAACTCATCCTACTGTCGTTACTGTAACACGAGCCACACAGCTTCTTGCATACGATTTGATGCAAATAATAAAAAGCAATTACAACATTTAGTCAAACAAAATGTCTGAATTTAGTTTTTCACATATTTCCTAAATATTTGGAAATATGTGAAAATGATAACTCAACAGTTATGTGACATTTAAATTTAAAGAATTTAAATAAAACTCGGTTTTTGTTGGTCAGATTTCTTTCTTCTTTTTTCAATCAAACCTAAATACCTAACCTAAATATCACAGAGAGAAAAGTAGTGTGATCGAAAACAATCCACAGGACAGCAGCCACGTACGTCTCCTACATTTACAGCACAAATGATCTTCGAGTGAACACAAAGACGTTTAGAAAGGCAAACAGCTGTGAAGTGTCTATGACGGGTCAGGTTTGTCCGTGCCCTGCAGAAAATCAGCCCCGTAGTAGAACTGGATCAAAAGAAACAAAATCAGTTTTTCTTTTTTGTTGACCAAGTGTACCAAAGGGTTTCTTGTTTCTCCAATTTAATTGAGAAATCAGTGTTTGGTTTTATTTACCTAAATTGATCAAGGGGCCTAATTAAGACAGATCTTGGATTTGGTCACTTGGCCACATGATTTCATACAAATCCAGAGTGATGGTTTCTTTCATAAAAAGCAACATGTCCAGTGATCCTTGGCGTTAACTGTCTGGTCATTCAGTCCTTAGCGTGTTGCTGTGTTAGACTTTCTAACCAAAGGTTGGTCCTTTAGTATAAAACTTCATACACTGTAGCCGGGGAAGTTAAGTCAGTGACGAAAAAAAGAGCGTCACACACACGACAACCAAGCATTTCACAACCCAGTTTAAGAGAACTAAAAAGGTCATTTAAAAAAAAAGAACAAGCGTCCTGACAGAAAGCAGAGCAGTGTTTGCCACAGAGCAGGGCATAGCATCCATCAGCTGTCTCATGTCAGACCACATCCTTTGTGATCAGAGTGTGACTAAACGGCAACAAACAGCGGTTACAGGGGCCGATTGTGCAGCTCGGAGGCCACAGATAAGAAAAAATCTGGGGTCGTTTCCACAAGCAGCCCATGAGTGTCCTGCTGGTGTGTCTTCCACAACATTAACCTAGATTTGTTAACATGATAAAATTACAGACAATCTTCAGTTTTCATCTAAAGGACGTTCAAAAGAAAAAACAAAACTAACAAGTAGCACTGCTGCACACAGTGAGCTTGACAGGGAGCATTTAATAAAGTCCCAACAGCTATAAATACCTAAGTTGGTCCACAAATATTTGGTGAATTCATGAGTGAATGTTTGGTCGCTGAAAAGTCAGATGGCAGAATGTTAGCAGCTGACAAGCTCTTCTTGAAGAATTTCTTCGAATTTTAGCTCAAGTGCAGGATGACGCGCAAAGAGAAAAAAGGTTTGCTGAGGTATTAGGTCAAAGCACGATTTCTTCCCTTGTTCAAAGAAAGAGGAGAGGTGGACACGTAGCATACAGTATTTTCACCACAATGACACAATTGCACTTCCTCACAAAAGCCCCTGAGGATGAAATATTGCACAAGATTTCACACCCTGGATCTCATTATAAGAAAAGTGATGCTGCTAAGTGACAATTCAAAAAACTCAAAAAACAACGTTTTTGTTTGTGTTTAACACAAACGCCGTTACTCAGCTCTGAGCGTGAGCAGACATCTTTTTATTCTTTGCTGTTTCACAAAACTGTGCCACCTGTGATCAGCCCAGCAGCACTGTTTGACTGGATCATTTGAGCAAAGCATAAGAGTGCAGTTAACAAGTCCTCTAATCTTGCTTTAAAGCCACAGGTCAGGCACCTTCAGGCAGGCACCAGTAGCAGGAATGAACTGAGCAAATCTAAATTAAAAATAGATATCAATATAAAGATCGATTATTTAGAATTATGTTATTGTGTTGGCGTTTATTTCACTAAAACTTTGGATGTCTAAAGTGGAAAATATCAGAAGAAGTTTGAAAACCACTGATTGAAACCACACACTGTAAAAGAGATGAACACAGCTGCTGTATCACCCACTGGTCTGGCCTGTGCATCTGAAGCTTCAGTGTTTGCATTTTGCCTTCTGACATGTTCGTTTTTCAATGTTGAGATGGAAGCTTTGAGTGCAAAGACCCAGCTGGGTTTTCAGTATAAGGATCCTTGTGCTCTTTTGCGTTCCTGTTTTTTGTGACCACACAGACCCTGCAGAGAATTTAAGCTACAGTCCACCGTCCGTCCACCTTTGATTATAAAGCACTTTAAAACAACTACAGCTGACACAAAGTGCTGTGCATTGAAACTAAACAAAATAATAAAAATACGACATAATAAGATATAAATAAAACCATAAAAAAGATTCAAGCAAACACAAACGTCTGGGATGATTTGTGTCTCACAGGAAACCAAATGATGTGTCAGATAATTCTATTAAAATGCTCCAGAATGAACCAGCACCATAAACATGGTGGAGAGGTCCAGTTTAGTGACGCCAGTCTGGCTCCTAAAAATTGATTAGTGACCACCTAACAACCACCGGTCATCAGGGGAAAATGAGTATCCTAACTGGATGTGACTGGTTGCTGGAGACTGCTGTGATGTCAAATGCTAAAGCTTAATTCATGCAGGTCTGCAGACCAGTCAGTGACCCACCAGTAAGCACCAGGTGGTTGTTGTCATTGAGTAAAACTCCTTGTAAAACGCTTTACTGCACGCTGCTGCACCGAAAGCCTTTTTGGAACAGCTTTGCACTGCAGGTTTCTACAGTCACCCATAGTTTGTATGGAAGACGCTGACTTGTCTGCAAACAGTCACCGACTACAGGCCACTCTGCAGCGAGTCTGTGACTGCAGCACAAACTGGAAACAGACACCCTTGAATCATGTTGATTTGGCAGTGAGGCACAACTTGTACTTTGAAGTTGTTCGTGGACAAATCTGCGTCTACACTGCAAATGCATAGCCGCAGCAATCTGCCACTAAGTGAAACGATCACTAGGAAGTTTTGGGTGTGGCACCCTGTTTGTAACTGAGACAGCCACCAACCTCCTGCAACCACTCATCATTTTTCCCTGGTTACTGGAGATTACCAGGGAGTTGCTGTCCAGTCTAGGCCTGTGTCACTACAGCTGTATCCAGTGTATGTAACAGTATTTTAGATTTTATTCTCTTAAAAACATACAAGGTACTGTGAAAATCCTTTCACATGGTATCCAAATATGTATGTTTGCAGTTTGGAGTAAAATGCAGAAGCAGCACAGGTCTGATGGGCAGGGACAGCAGGAGCTTTGATGTGGTTTAAAGAAATGGAAAAAGCTGCTCGTTATAAGCACAGAAATGAGCTTTCACACATAAACACATTTTACTGAATGTGTTTGTGATGAAAAACATTTAACACGTCGTGCTAAATACCTGTGAGGCTCGTATCAGTGAGGCTGAAGGCTGATGTGAGCGTCCTGTTTAGTTTGGGGTAACACAGGAAATGAAGGCGGCAGTCTAGAAAGAGCTGAGGCAGCAGCGACGAGAACAAAACGCGCTGCGGTGTTGAAATCACAAACATGATGAGAGTCCTGCTGCTCACCAGTCTTCTCCTGACAGGTACAGATTGTTTGTTGTTGGTTTGATTCTTAGCTACAGAGGTTTCTCCTTTTTTTGAGATTTGTATTCTTTAAAAGCTCTTTTAAATGTAAATGAACACGTGTCTGATGAAGACACACAGAAAGAAGTTTTGCTTCACTTGAATTACTTTTACTTTTTTATCTAATCTTTTTTTTAGGATCCATTTATCCAATCGTTTTAATATTCAGAACTGATTGTGATTAAAAATGAAATCTGAAACACAGACCTCACGAAGGCAAAGCTTTTATCTCCACACAGGGTTTTGTGTGACTGGTTGGATGTGTTTGATTGTTTGCAGGTTTACTCACAAATAGATTTGCATGAAAAATCTACAGGAGGTGTAAAAGTCTCCCAACTTGTGAGAAAGTGAGAAATTGTCTTAATTTTCTCATGAAAATAAAATTCAAATTAAAAACTTCAAACATTAACATTAAAACATTTCGAGAGACTCACACGTGGAGGGAACTTTTAGTCTGTAACTTAATTAAAATTTACATTTAAAAGATTAAAAATGTCATTTTATTCACTGTTATTTGTTATCCTATTTACAACTCTGACTTTTAGGTTTCCATGTCTGTTCCTAATGTTTGATGCAGATCTGTAGTTCTGAACTGTAGCCAAACAATTTATTGGCTTTTTTGGGGGGGTTGTGTTTTCCCTCTTTGTTTTTTTGTCATATATAAAAAAATTTTAATCTCTCATTTCAAATACATTCAACAGGGCGGCTGACTGTATAAAGGTGATTATAGACACAGGGGAAAATCGTTGGTATGCAATTTGGTCCTCGACCTTTTGTCATGTTGGCCTCGTGCAGGGAGTTCTCTGACCTTTTAGTCTTTAAGTCTTAAAAATGTGCAAACAGCACAAGCAGGGAAAGTCTTTCTTTAAACTGCTTTTTTTTTTCCTTAAAATGAAAATTACAGACTACAAAGTTGGACTGTACTGTAAGAAAATATTAAAGAGCACAGATGTTTGAATATTACTGCATACTAAATTGCTCCTTTTAGATCTTTCATGTCTTTCATGAAGGTTTTATCAGATTTGTTTAAATAAAAAATCTCTTGTTGACAGGTGCGAGGTGCAAAAAGGACGTGTTTGTGTACAGCACAGTTGGAGGAGACGTTCTTCTTCCATGCATGGTGTCCTCAGACTGCTCCGCCATCTCCTGGACCTTCTTTAACAAAGGCACGGACGTGCGGTTCGTCCATGAGGTCGTCAATGGGAAGGTGACGGCCGATTCAGACAAATCCAGCCGTATGACCTTCACATCCAACTGCTCCATCAGCCTCCGCAACCTCAGGGTGCGGGACGCTGGATCCTACGTCTGCCTGAGGAACGACCAGCCTGTCACTGACGTTTACCTCTCCCTCCTCACAATCTCGTCTTTCTCCACCTTCACCGACCTCCAGCCTGGAGGAATCCTCTCCCTGACCTGCATCTTCTTCACTTATTATGACGCAGGGAGCTGCAAGTCATACTCAAAGAGCGTGTTCGGCCTGAGCTGGGTGGATGAGGATGGGAGAAAGCTGCCCAACAACAGCAGGTTGGTTTTTAGGTCATTTTATTTCTGTTAATCATAAAGACTATTACCATAAATAACCCATAACACATGTTGTGCTGTATTGCAATAAATGTTTTCTTTATTGCAATCATCTTAATAGATAACAATTTTTTTTATTTTAATCGTTTAAAAACAGCTAGTACCATTAAATATAAAATATGAGAAAAAGTAAAAGATTTATTTATTCTTTATCTAAGGAGGAAAATATTTCCTGTTATTAAAAAAATCTAAATTGCGAGAGTATCTGAGCTGAATTTAGATAGATGAGGTTCTAATACAGACACATACACACAGCAAAATACACAAAATGAGTATATGAGATAAAGACTGAATAAAAAAAAACAACCAGAATTATAAACTTATATTTTACATTATAAAAGAAAATGTAAGTCAAATTAAATTATTGTCTCAGACCAAAACTAAAAGCAGAAATGTTCAGGTGAACACTGCCTGGTGATGAACGACAGCTGTGTGATGTTTCTCTGTCCGTTTCACCTCTGTGCAGGTACAACCTGACCAGCCACACTCGCTGCAACATCACTCTGGTGACAAAACTCCAGAAGGACGACAACAACAGGAGGTGGAGGTGTCTGGTGAACACCACAGAGAACAGCAGAGCCGTGTTTCTGGACTTCAGGTCTGCCTTTTTGTTCCAAAATAATGATGATGACAGCCTGAATCCTTCGGTCACGGCGATGTGTCAGGTGAAGCTGCCCATCAGCCGCATCGTGCTCTGTGTGGCCCTCCCGATCATGGTGACCATAGTGGCATTCTTCACATGGAAGTCGGACCGCGAGAGGGCCAAAGCATCAGCAGAATCCTTCATGCTCCACGAGATCAACTGACCGTCCATCACTGCAGGATTTTTGTAGTATTTTCACTTCTCTGGCCCCTTTTCAATCATCACATCCTCATGGATCCTGTAAGAGAATACTACTACAGTTATGTTGCAGTATTGTATTATTAATGACATATTTTGCATGTATGCAAAAAAAAGGTTCTTGTTGTTTTTTAGTTCTTTGTTTGTTTGGTTTTTTTGATTTGTTTTTACTGCTGAAATGTGTAAAAAACGTCGCCTGGATGCGATCTGTTGCTATGTTGCGTTGTTTTAAAGCCTGTATAGATCTTTCAGCACTGATGGTACATTTCCAGATGTGCAAGCCGCCGGACCAGGGGCATAATCAGACCCAACCAATATAACCCCCCAATAAAATTATGAATTATCTTGCATAAATAGGCTGTTGATTTTCTTTACTGATTTCAGGTATTACCAGCAAAATAGTTGCATGTTTAATCATCTGGGAATTTACCCAAATTTATTTATTTATTTAGACAGAGATCTTGACCCCCATTGGTAAACATTATTCTGAAAAGTTTCCACAATTTGTAGACAGTTTTTTGGAGCTTGGTGAACCTCTGTCCATCCTCTCTTTTTATACCTGGTCTGTTACTGACCTGTTGTTAATTAACACAGCTGTGAAATGTCCTCCAGTTGATGCTTTTTAGTACCACTTACTTTTCCAGCCTTTGTTGTCCCAACTTTTCTCAGATGTGTTGCTGCCGTCAAATTCAAAATGAGCTAATGTTTTATAGTAAAATATTTCACTTTAAACATTTTTAATGTTTTGGTGTTGTATGTTGAATAAAATGTTGGTTTATGAGATCTGAAAATAATTGCATTGTGTTTTATTTACAAACTTTGTTGACATTGGGGTTGTAATTGTCTGAAATCGCTAAAAGTGTGCGAAGATGCAAGGTCATAGCTTCACTGCATTACACAGCTACAAAGTATTACAAAGCTAAAACAAATAGTAGATCATCCAAATATCATTACTCACATTTGCTTAAATAGAAAAATAGTAAATACGTGCAGTGATTCACTGAAATATGCATATATACAAAACAAATAGGAACAACAAGAGTACAATTCTAACAAGTCTGAAAAGTCCATATTTGGCATGATCACCTTTATTCATCAGCACAGCTGTCTTGTAATTTCTATAAGTGGTCTTCAGGAATAATCCTCCAGACTTCTTTAAAGCTCTTCTTTGGATTTCTTCTGGTCTCCATCAAGATGATCTCACACTGCTACAGTGATGCTGAGTCTTTCCAGATGGTATTGGATTCCAAGTTCCCCAACATCACAGGATCCAAACCACAACAGAGCCTCTTGTAGAGACCCTCTGCTGTACCTCTCTCTTGACCTCCATATGTCAAATTTCCTCCAAATGTTAGAGACACACTGCACATTATGTTGAAATGTGCCTAATTGTAGCTAAGTGCCTAAAGAATCAACTTAAAATAGCTTATTTTGCTAGTTGCCTGTTACGTGTAGACATAATACTGGTTTCTCCCTTGACTTAGAGGCTGTCTTATGCTTGAAGAGGTGAAAAGGTGTTTAGTGAAAAAGAAAGAAAATATTTTTTGCATATCAAATCTGACATAAAGCTATAAAAATAAACAAAATGAAAGTATGTATAAATATTAATATCCAAAATAATAATTAAAAGATCGATGTCGCGGACATGGACAATATCAGGAAGTTACGGAAACTGTAAAGGGACAATTTATCCTGCTGCTGAATGGAAACGCTTAGCTAACTGTGTTCATAAACATGGCAGCACATCTGAAAAAGCGAGTTTATGAGGAATTTTCCAAAGTTGTACAGGTGAGCACATTATAACCGTCTCGTCAGCTGTTGTAAACTTAGAGTTTAAACGTTAAAGAAATAGCTAAATGTTACAATTCTGCGCCAAGTACCGTGTTAGCTAATGCTAAAAGATAGCCGCTCACAGTCACAACACAACATGGATCCTCTGAGAGTTTAGTGCAGAGGAAAAGCACAACTTATTCCGTTTAGTGCTTTTATTCTTACACACAGTATAGCACAGTATCCACTGACAGTGGCGTTTTACGCTTTGGAAGCTCAAAAAGAAACCGAGTTGTTTACATCCGATTTAGCATTCACGTCAATCATTAATCCGCTAACTGAGCTCGTTCGCATGTTCTGAGTTTTTCCTGCACAGAGGAACTTTTGGCTCCTCTCACAGAGGATTTTTAGCCAAAGTAAGAGGAAACTGTAATAGCTGTTCGAAGCAGTGCTGTTATTAGCCGTTTATGCGTCATGTCATTCGTTTTTGTGGATCTTGTGGCTTCATTAAGCAACAACATCCAGCTCGCAGTGGGGCAGTTTGTTGTTAGTGTGACGAGAGTTGGCACCTCACGGTCCGAGGCTACGGTTCTCAGACAGAAAAGGGTTAACTTGCCTTTGAGGTTACCAGTGTAAACTACAAGTTTAAGCGTCGCAGCTTCTTGGAGATGAGTGAGAGGAGAGCAGAGCAGGAGATTTAAACAGCGTCTGCAGTAATGGTCACAACGCAAAGGTCTGTAGTGATCAAAGAGGAGCAGCTGATTTACTGGATGAACTATGTTCCTACTCTCACCTGTCAGCATGACCTCTCACCTGGGTGGTGACCAAAACAGTAGGATTGCAGATATACGTGGCCTAAATGAGCTGTTTCTAGAGATGGAGCGAGGAACTGAGAGAAAAATGAGACAATTGATGGTTTGAGCTTCTTACTGGGAAAGCTTTAGTACGCCTTCTGGGTGAGATGTTTCAGGCAGGTATCACTGGGGGGAGACCCCTGCGAACACCCAGGCTTGGAAACACCTCAGTACCCCCCAGAAGACCTGAAGGAGGTGAAAGTAAAAAGAGGTCTGGGTATCCCAGCTTAGACTGCTGCCCCTGTGACCTGGATTAAAAAAACAAAAACAACACAGGAGAACATGGATAAATGGACAGTAGCTCTTAGTATATATGGTCAAAAAGAATAGATGGCCCAGTTAGAGAAAAAAAGATTATATGTCAGGAGATTAGAGATTAGATGCTTTTTGTAGTTGCAACTGTGTTTTTACACTTACAGATTCCACATGAAGAAACTCCAGCCAAAAAGCTGCGTCTGTCCAAACCCAGTAAGTCTGCCGCTCTTCACATTGACCTTTGTAAAGCCACCAACTCCACCGATGCCCTGCAGTACCTGCTGCAGTTTGCACGCAAGCCTGTGGAGGCAGAGAGCGTGGAGGGTGTGGTCAGGATCCTGCTGGAGCACTACTACAAGGTAAAGAGTTGTGGGTATTTTTTTTCTCCTTTTTTTAAAAATAGAGTTGATAAGAGCAGAATTCCCAGTGTCCTAAAAAAAAGTCAAACTGCTAATGATGACGATTCTTTCTTCCAGGAGACGGATAACTCTGTGAGGCTGAAGATTGCCTCTCTGCTCGGCCTGCTCTCTAAAACGCAGGGCTTCAGCCCCGACTGCATCGTTGACGATGCCATTAACACGCTCAGCAATGAGAGTACGACACATCTGAACATTTATCCATCTCCAACACTCAGAGAAACTTTCATAGCAAACTGTTTTGTTTCTTTGTGTGTTCAGAGTCCCATCAAGTTCTCGCCCAGCTGCTGGAGACCCTGCTGGTCATTGGTACACAGCTGCCCGAGAGTCCTGCACTGAGACTGAGGCTCGTAGAGGTGGCCTACAAGGTGACACAAACACTTATTCAGAGTCCATACACAGAAGTCGTCATTACAAATTCAACAGGACTTTCTGCACAAACCAGTAAATGTCCTCCTCGTTTCTCTTCTCTCCTCTTAGCATCTCTCTGATACGTATTTTGGGGTGAGGAATAAGTGCCTGCAGCTCCTGGGATGTCTCGGCATGGTGGACGCTCCCCTAGGAAAAGAAAACGAGGGCGCGGGCACATCCTTAGGTTTGTATACATACTTATTGTATTTATTTTACCTAAAGCTTAAAATGTTAAAAATACAGAGAGGTAAATCCATCAATACATCCTTCTGTATCTAAATTTGATGTCTGATTTAGTTTAATCCTCAAAACATATTTATGTGTCATTATTTATTGTGCTTTGAGTTGCTGTGTGATGGTTTTTATGGCGGCCTGCTATTTTGCCTCCAGGAGGATTGAGGGATGTCCAGAGCATTATCAGCGACTACTTTGGAGACCAAGACCCCAGAGTCCGCACTGCAGCCCTCAAAGCCATGGTAGGAAAACCCTGTAACCCCCCCTGCACTGCAACCAGCACTAGACTCATGTGTTTAGGAACCAAGCACAGTGAGCTTTAAGGAAAACAACCCACTCTATTTTCAGGTTTCAATAACTCTGCTTGCTCTCTGTGCTGTTGTTTGTTTTCCAGCTGCAGCTGCATGAGAGAGGGATGAAGATTCATCAGATTATTTATGATCAGGTACGAGCAGAATACGTCCTCACAGCTTACTGCACTCCCACTGTAGTTTAGATGTTTAATCCAACCTTCTGTATGTATTCTTGTGTGTTTGCAGGCCTGCAGGCTGCTCACAGATGACTACGAGCAGGTCCGTTCTGCAGCAGTGCAGATGGTTTGGGTGCTCAGTCAGCTGTACCCAGAGAGGTGAGGAGACCAGGATTCTCATACTCAGTTTCAGTCAGTGTAGCTGTTGAGTTTGTTCCGCTCTCTGGATCAGAAACCACGACTGATGTCTGAAAAGATAAATCCTAACTGCTGTCTGTAAGCACTGTCTCTGCTGAAGTGCAGAAACCTTCATGAAACTTCCATGTGCGACGACTTTATATTTAGCCCAAGGCTACTTATGTTCTCGAAAGAAGAAGTAAAATAAAACAAAACAGAAAGCTGCCAGCTTTTCTGTGCAACAGATAATTCCAGCAGAGTGTTGTTAGGTCCAAGCCCTTTAAAAACATCATTTACAGCTAAAAGATGAATAATAAAGTAAAAGTCCCTTAACCTTCAGTATATGTGTTATTCTTTCCAGTGGTAGGTTTGGTTATGGTTTATCCAGAACATTTACTCTGACTTTTTCACAAAACAGTATTGTTGGAAAAACTGCCGTTCATAAATGTTTGTTTTTTTATATTTTCATGTTCCTTCTGGATACAAACTTTGCTTGTAAGCAACATTTCTCCAGTTTTTCTGATTTGTAGCTTGTTGATGTTTCCGTCCAATCAGCATTGTACCCATCCCATCATCCAATGAGGAGATCCGGCTGGTTGATGACGCATTCGGTAAGATCAGTCACATGGTCAGCGATGGTTCCTGGATGGTTCGGGTGCAGGCCGCGAAAACATTGGTGAGTAAATAAAGTCTTCCATGACAACAACAACATCATCAGCAATTAAGTCAGTTTGATATACGGGACACAAACCTAGAAGAAGTCCTCACATGAAGAATCCACAGGTGGACCCATGTGTCCTCATATCACTG